CTCCTGGGGTAGTGCTGGCGCTAACTGTCTAGTGACATCATTAACAGCAATATACATGTAATGACATTAGTGATTGAGAAACGTGACTTAGTTCAATTATTTTGTGCTGTATTATCTCTTTTAGCAACAATTCACTAGCTTCATGTAGTATTTGATTAGCTTTAAGTGACTTAATGTGATGAGTTACTTTAACTGCATGTGGAATTACCTTTGAGTCTCTGCATCTTTGGAGGAACGCCAGTGAAGACGACAGCTTCATCCGCTTCATTTGGAGTTTCTTCATTTTCTGGTTTGAAGAAAAGTATCCTCCTCTTAGAGGTTAGTCAGTTTAACATGTAGTCTTTCGCGACCAAAATCATCCATAATAGAGGTTTGTTGTTGGGTTAGATCGCATAAATATATAAATGTGTCGTTAAAATCCGCCACCACCCGATATAGCCAACGAGTAAGGGTTATCACGTAAACAGAACATGCCAATTCGTCACTAGTACACAATTCGTCACTAGTACACTGGTGTGTTGGAGAGCCAAGACACATTATTTACAATCTGGCTGTGTTGGGTGGTGTCGGGTTTTAACGACACATTTATATATTTACGCAATCTAACCCAAAAAAACACCTCTATTATGGATGATATTAGTCGCGAAAGCCTACGTGTTACACACTGTTCATTTAATGTCAAATGTATTATTGTGTAAAGGGGTGTTTGAGTGTATATGATGGTATGGACCTACGAACATAGTATCCCGTTGGCAATGCTCAGTCCTGAAACCCTATCCATCCGTCATTCATTTGAGGATGCAACTCGCTGTTTACCATCCAGATGCTTAAAAGACACCAGCACAAGGAAGGCAAAACAAAACAAAATAATAAAATAAAGTGTTCAACAACTCGGTGTGCCTAGGTCATATGCAAACAAAATATGAGTTGAGATGGCGTGAGTAATTAATATAATTGCAATCGTTTTTCACAATGCAAAGAGTTATAGCCCTTTGTCAGCCTACAGCTGGGTAAAGGCCTTCCCAATCCCACGTAGACTATCATATTTTCTTACATACTTCACCATTTTGGTTACGATGGATTGGGTGCAGGTTTCAAGAATCGATTCAGATATCACCTGCCACCGATATTAGCCGTGGCCCGGAATGCAGTTCTGGTCACTTGATTCAAAGCGCAGTGAGCTAATCAATGTACCACCACTCCTCCGTCAGCTTATTATATTTTATTTTCTGACAAGTAGGGATATCGGTGTTCTGCAACGGAACATAACAGACAGCTGTGATGGTCATGCTCTTCTCACAATCCTGTACTCGGACCACTATAAGTAGTCTGGTTTTTTATATCATGATAAAATTACAATGTAATACGTATTGTGAGGGGTTTTTCAATGAAGCAAGAGCCTTAAGAGAATTGGGAGCAAGTAAAGATATCCAAATTTTTGCTGCTTATATAATGCCCCGTGAGGACGACGATAATAAAATCAAAGATTTACTCGATGAAGGTACCTCCCTTAAAATTAAACGAGACCCAACCAGCACCTTGGAACGTAAAACAATGGCAATCATTGCCAAGTCATCAATTCCCAAGGAAGAGCAATAACTGATCAAACCAAGGGCATCAAAACCACCAAGACTTTATGGGCTACCAAAAATTCACAAACCTGATGTCCCATTAAGACACGTAGTTAGTGCAATAGGCTCTGCCATATACAAATGAGCACAATACATAACGAAACAAATACAGCCCTACATCGATAGGATATCTTCGTTCATCAAAAACTCTGAACATCTCCTACATATAATTAAAGATATGAAGCTTAACCCTAATGATATTCTCATAAGTTTTGATGTGACTTCTCTGTTCGCGAGGGTTCCGGTCAACGAGTCAATTAAGTTACTCGACACTCTGGTAACGAACAAAGGTTTAGTCAAAGATATCCCGAGACTAGCTGAACACTGTCTAAAGAACACCCATTGCTTGTGGAAAGGTGACTTCTATAAACAAAAGGAAGAAGCATCAATGGGCTCTCCTTTGTCTCCTGTGATAGCGAATTTGTACATGGAAGATTTTGAAACAAAAGCAATAGCTTCAAGCACACTAAAATCCTCTGCTTGGTTTAGATATGTGGATGACACATTGGTGGTCTGGCCGCACAGCAACGATACACTTAAGGCATTTCTAAATCATCTTAACTCGCAAAACCCATCCAACCAGTTCACCATGGAAGTGGAAGCTGGCAGAACTCTACAATTTCTGGATATTCTGCCCGGACGCGGTCGAAATGGTAAAATAACACGCATTGTTTACCAAAAGAAAACGCATACTGACGCCTATCTGAATGTAGTCACACCATCACCCCGCACAGAAATCTGCACTTATCAAGACGCTCATTCATCGAGCTAAGAAAGTGTCAGATGGTGACAGTCTGAGAAGTGAAATTCAACATGTTAAAAAAGCGCTGCAAATGAACGGTTACAATGATGCACAAATCAACAGGGCATTGAATGCCAAAACCAAATCAAGTAACACGAGCAATGAAACTGCCCAAGTAATTAAAACGATAAATATACCGTACATTGCGGCAGTAACTGATAAATTAGCCAGATGTTTGGAAAAAAAAACATCCTAATCAGATTTGGCACGGTACATAAAATACAGAAATTAATATCTGGTACAAAAGATGTATTACCGAAGCTATCAACAGAAGGTGTGTACATAATTAACTGCACTTGTGGCAAATGTTATGTTGGGCAAAGAGGACGAATGATCAGCACGAGACTAAAAGAACATCAGAGAGATATTAAATACTCCCAAATACAACCGTCAGCAGTAGCAGAACATGCGTGCCAACAAGGACACTCAATTGATTTGTTAATATTGAAGTTCTGTGCAAAACTAGCTACAGTACGACTGGCCAAGACTAGTTAGAGAATCTATCGAAATTGAAAGCAAGAAATATATGTTTTCATCGTTCGGATAGCTACCGACTCAGTGCTGCGTGGAAACGGTATGGCTATTTTAATACACACAATGGACAGGTAGGACAAGATCAAAGGGATCTCATAATGCGCATGCATAATGTACGTTGGCTCATTAATCCCCCCCCCCCCCACTTTGCGCAAGAGCGCAGCAGTGTGGTCACCACATATACGCCTCTATATAAGGAACGAAACATGTGGACTTCTCCACACATCTGGCTGTTGCCTGAAGAAGCTAGTGGTAATTACTCGTGAAACGTCGTACTCAGATTTTAAATGTTGTGGGTTTGGCTCTCCAACACACCGGTGTGCTGTACTAGTGACGAATTGGCCACGTTCTGTTTACGTGACAACCCTTACTAGTTGGCTTTGTCGGGTGGTGGCGGGTTTTAACGACACATTTATATATTTACGCGATCTAACCCAAAACAAAACTTTATTATGGAGAACAGTGTGTAATTACAAATTACACTTGCGCCATATTTGTATAAACCTATGAATGTACATCAGTTAGGACACGGAGAGGAACAGTGGAATGAATCCCAATAAAATTTGGATTACACCGTGGGTCAGTACTAATCCACAAAGCCCCACTTACACAGAGCAAAAATTTCAAACAGAAACCCAGACTCGTGCATAGACCAAAGGAGTTGCTCCGGGACTTACTGTCGGTAGATGACCTTGGCATAGCAGCTGAGTCAGTGGAAGAGCGAAGAGAGCTTGGCGAATGTCGCAGCAGCACCGTGAGAGAGGTGGCTTGACATACCCTTAGTTTTTTCTCGGTAAAGTCACGTAGGTAAAAAAATAGGTGGCTTGACGGTGAAAACGTCGGTGTAGATGGACGTTGTGATGAGTTGCAGGAAAAATGAGGGAGGAATATGAGTCGCAGACAGGAGAGAACAACAGCTGGCACCGATAGAAAAATGCAAACACCTGGGAAATATTTAACAGAGTGTGCGAATAACCTGGAAAAGTGGATAACCAGCACAACAGGGTGGCAGCGCAGTGGTAACACAAAAAGGGTCTGTGTTCGATTCTCAACTCGGCCACCTTTCTGTGTGGAGTTCATATGTTCTCCCCCTGTTCCGTGTGGGTTTCCTCCGATTTCCTCGGTTTCCTCACAGTTACCAAAAAAAACCACACGATGCAAATGGTATCGGGCAAAACATTTAAATGCTGACAAAATTACCTGACAATTATACGCCAAGAAACATCGCCCACCTACTGAGAAAACGTAGCAGGAGCTTTTCTAAGTCTTTAAACTCGGTAAAAATGTCCTGGGTAAAGAGGCACACGTAGTAAATAAATAACACTGGAAAATCTTTTCAGAAAATGTTGATGGTTTTTGCATAATTCACAGAGGCTGAGTGGTTTAAGCATCATCAATAGGTTATTTGAAGCACAGAGTCGGCTGAATCAGCCACTCCAATTCGGAGGTCACTCCCTGATGAAGCTCAATGTATTGCAAGCGAAATATCATCGTACGCTGGTGTTAAATTTAAGTCTTGAGAAGCCTCGCGCCACCGGTGAGGAACGAGAGTTTTCTCAGTCAGAATCTGATCGATACATTGGCCACGGACAAACAATTAGATGTAAACGGATTGTATTTATTTCAGCAGGAAATGCCGAATGAGCGGCGGGGCTCTATTTTACGAACGTGGTAATCTTGTTGGGTAGTGGGGGGGCATGACAACACATGCTGTGATAAAGAAAAAAACTATGACACGTGGCCCCGACCCAAAAACAAACATGGATCACGACTAATGCGTGGTTTACATGACAAGGGTGCGTGTTTGTGGGGTTCTATTTCCACCAAAGCATGCACACCTGCGCAAGACGCTGCCAACTCTGGTGATAAGTTTCACCCCTCCTTTGTTCACGCCCGTCTTATTTGCGACGCGTCGTGGGTTAACGATCACTTGCTTCTGTGGAACTCTCTCGCTCCGACGCAACCGTAGATTCCCAGTGAGGGTGTAACGGCCGAGGTTAATCTCGTGAGCGGTGGGATCGAGCGGTTAAATTATGTCGATCCTTCTGATCGTCGCAGTCATTTGCAATGCGCTGTCAGGGTTTGTGAGCTGCGACCACATTTTGACGGTTAAAGAAAGGCCGGTCCAAGACGGAGGTGGCGTGACCTTCACATTACTCCCCGACGGTTTGTACGCTTTTCTTTTAACTCTCTCACCCGCAGAACACTGGCAACCTCACGTTAAAAGGCACAAACCGGCCAGCTCGCTCGGCGGTTGAGCGAGCCGCTTGCAAGCAGAAGTTTGCGAGTTCAAATTCTGTGTTGGGGGTTGTCTCGGCCCTTCATCCCTCCGGGATTGATAAAACGAGTTACTTTATGGTGGAAGTCAATCGTGGCTGTCCTATGGATAGGATTATCCCCGATATAGGAACGTGAAATTTCCACCACTGGCTCAGTGCTGTAAACGGGAGAATAGCACTAAAGCCTCCATGCGCATTTTAGGGGATCACTTTTGTTTTGAAAGTGCTTTTTGGACGCCCTTTTAATGGCGAGTGTGGGGGCAGAGGCCCCGAGTTTGACGCAACCGGTATTAGGAGTGATACCAGTGCCCTTTAGTTTTACCACCACAGGTGGCTATCGGATAGCAGGACTATGTGGTATTGCACCGATGATACCCCGTGAAGGGAAACTGCAATGCATTTGCCCGTACTCTAGCAGTCCAGAAATTGTTGTAATATCGTAACCCTATTTGCCTTTGAACAAATCACACGGAATATACGCTCTCTCAGCAGATCTCATAAGCTAGCAAACTCGATCCTGGATAGTGTTTGGATGGGTGACCGCCACGCATCCTAGACTGTAGGCAGTTGCTGCGGGGCAAAGTGGTGGTGATGGTGGGCACTCTAAAGCACCGTGGCTATGCTCCGCCGTCTGTGCTCCCACTGCTCAGTGGAGTTTGCCATCACCAGCCTGCACTGAGCAGTGCGGTGTGGCCGGTGAGAATACAGGCAGACCCCGCTAAGCGTTCAAAATGCGTTCCTGAAAAAGTGAGCGCGAATCGAATCAGTGCAAAAATGGGTAATTATACCATTGTGTGCAAATATGGGGATGCGTTTCTGACAGCGTTATTTATTACGTATCAGCAACATTTGAAGGCTTCATAATAATACAGATAGTAATACAGATTTTGTAAAGAAGTGTTTTTCAATACAACAGTTTTATGTCCTGTACTCACCAATGCATTCACATAACGCTCACTTGCCTCGACCCACCGTGTCGCTTGCATTTTAACATTCTTGGGTGATACTTTTCCTTGACACTTTGGTCTCATTTCCAGCACTAAACAACTTCACAAGCGTTTTTACAGACATAATGGGTCTTAAATGCTCTAAAACAAATTTAAGTAAAGACTAACAAAATTGGCGAGTGCTGCGTTGATGTCATGCAGAAGATTGCATTTTAAAATACTATTTTTCTGTTATTAAAACATTTAATTTCACATTTCAAAAATGTAAATATAAAATTTAAATGTGAACATCTTATATCATTGAGAATTACATTTAGGAATGTAATAAAAAATTTTATACGAAATATCAGAGCGTTCGTCACTCTCATTGGCTGAGCGAAAATAAACAAATATTGCGTTCCCTCATCCCAGCGGTGCTGCACATTCTCACTGAATAAGCGAGTTTGGGTTTTTCTATTGTTTTGGTTAAACAGCGCTGTAACAAATCTGTGTTTTACGGGGGTCGTGCCAAGCAAAGTATGTCTGTAAACCAAAAAAAAGACTAAGATTCCCCTATATAATTGAAGCAGGGCAAGTGCGGTTAGCGAGCAGCACCTATGAAGGTCGGCAAGGCACACTAGGGGTGGGTGGTCTCCTCAGTGGCGATGTTTTTACACACTGCACCAGGTTCTAGTTTGGGGCTGAGTCGACCTAGGGGAGGCCCAAGACCAGTTCAAAAAGTCGTCACTGGTGTTGGCCGTGAGCGGGAGTCTAACTCGGGTCGTCGGGTTTGTAGCAGGTCGCCGCGTTAACCGCTACACAAACCATCACCACCTGCACAGGCATTAGGGTGGCCCTCATCGAGCAGTAGATTGACAGGAAGGGCTGCACATGTGCACGAGTGCAGCGGTAAGGGAGGTTCTTGCGATCGCTAACACAGGACTCTGGGCTTTAACCCCAACAGCAAGTCTGTTGGATGTCAGCGCCATCTCGTCCGTCACCTTCTACTTCAACACAAACAGCGCCTTCAACAACACCCGCACCACCACAGAAAACCGGGGCTTCGGATGGCTAACAGCAGGTACGGTTCGCTTACGGGTTACCTATGTGTTGAAGGTGACTCAATTGTCAGCAGTTGTTGGCATTTTGACACAGGTGTTTGAGTACAGATGCTATGAATTTCGTGGCAAGACTGGAGAATCCATGCAGAAGTCCGGCAGGGAACACGGGACAGGTGAGTGGTGTAGATGTAACGTTGCCTAAATGTTGCTATATGTAGGAGAAGACGCTGACACTCGTATATATTTTGTTCCCAGAATGGGTAACACAATTTAATAAAATATATGACTTCATAATTGTAACAATCGGTAACTTGTTGTTTACACTCCTATACATATCCTATAACTTGCTATAAAGCTCAATCTTAATTTTGGAGCTTTCGTGACTGCAGGAATTATTCTTTGGTTCTTTCGGTAAAGTCACGTATGAAGATAAAATAATAAATTAAATAATAGCATACGACGTTTCGATTGCAACACAAGCAATCATCATCAGGTATAAATGAAATAGCAACAAAAAATCTAACCAGAAAACTAGAGACAGACATATAAGCAGACAGATATCACCAAGATACATAGAGAGAGTAACACAGGTATTTCATTTATACCTGATGATGATTGCTTGTGTTGCTATAGAGCTCTCAAAACCTAGCCACTCCCTTTCCTCTCCAGGCTTAACTGCCCCAAACTGATATTTGACCCCTTTTATATCTACTCTCCTACTCCCTAAATTGCCCCAACTGACAGCCTTGCAGCTGCCCGTTAACTGCCCAATCTGACAGCATCGCGGCTGCCCGTTAACTGCCCCACACTGCTCCTTACACTCCACTAGCTTCGTCTACTCAGTGGCGCCGAGAACGCTCACACTCAGCACCACAAGTCGGGAGTCCCATCCCTGTAGCTCCCTGCCGTTGTGCTACCTCCCCCCCCCATCATATAGCCCCTCAACTTATTTTTATATAAAGATCGTGCTTCACGTCATAGATACCATTCGATGAGGGAACAAAAACATAATGGTTGCATTGGGTAGGACCTGTTGCATATAAAACTGTATTACTTTTTTGAGACGGTGTCAATACTTTGCTTGCTTATCCATGTTTACCCCACGTGACAACTTGATTTGATTGCTTATGTTGGGTGGTGGAAGGTTAAAGTAAAAAAAAATGTTACATGACGATCTAACCCAGAATGAACTATGAATCATTTCCTTCCACTTTCGGGCGCAACTCTAATAATGGAATCCTGCCCGGACTTTTTATAGGATTACCAAAATATTGTCACTTATATGACTTGAGGACTACATTTAACAAAAGACTAGCCAGAACACTTGAGCCTCAACCTTACTCAGATAGAAATTCCAAACAAAAAGGCCATGGTCAGAGGCCCAACGGAGCACCTACGTGTGCACATGTGTAAAGACACTTCTTCAGAGGTTCCATTTTCAAGGGGAATTGTCTTTATTTCCCGAGAATGTATTTATGAAGGTGAGAGTACGACTATTATAACTCGCAACAGCTATCTGCAGCCCCGTTGGTTTCCACTAGATTAACTTGAACTGTATTTCTTATTTTACAGCATGTAGATCTCTAACAGTCGGCCTAATCGTTTCCACGATGTAGATCTTGAGTGGTCAGCCCCGATGTCATCTACCTCCAGTCGTCGATCACTCTCCAAGGAAGCTCCCCGAGTGGGGGCCTCGCTCCCCTTCTTATACTCGCTCCCCTTATTATACTTGTTTGGCACCGCCCCTCACTACTCTTGGTCTCACCGCTGCTGATAGCATTCTGACAGTACCTTCCAGCCACCTGTCTTTAGCCATCTCCACTCACCCTTCCAGAACTTTCCCTCATACAGTACCCTGCACCTATTTTCAGCCACTCACCCCACTCAAACCTTGCCATGTACAGTATCCTACATAACCCCCTCCCCCCGCCTCATAAAAAAGTAGCTGTCCCGGCTACAACTTTAATCTCTACAATAGGGGACTGTAATTGAATAACAATGGGATCGCACAAGGGATTTGCAGCTTTCGTGACTGCAGGAATCAATACTCTTTGGTTCTTTCGGTAAAGTTAACTTCCTGGTTAATGCACAATATACAGTGAGGGAAAAAAGTATTTGATTCCCTGCTGATTTTGTACGTTTGCCCACTGACAAAGAAATGATCCGTCTATAATCGCCTTCCTCCCCAGAATTCGTCACGACGCCTTCGGACACGGCCTTTCAGAACCTGAACAACCTCTTGTGTCAGTCGTTCTTTACATGGTTTAAGGCGACTCGGATAAACAACCAATTGTCAGCGTCCCATCTGGATGCGTACACTTTGCAGACAGAGGATTTGTAACATTTCTACCATGCCCTGCCAGGGACGGTGCAGCTTCGCAGACGTGGGGACAGTGTAACCATGCCCAATCTCCTTGCTCAAAGGGTATGGGCGTCTCCATCTTTTTGCGCAGGCATTCGTTCGCTAATTGTGATTTGCCCAACTCCGCTATCGCGACCTCACGAGCTTCTCGCAACCTTTCTAGCGGCAGCTTGAGGGAGTCTGGCAACGAAACCCCTTTTTCAGAGAGAGCCACCAGATGGTCCTCAATAGATGGCACAGGGTCCCTCCCGTACATCAAAAAAAAGGGAGAACCTGGTCGATGCATGGGGTGCTCTAATATATTCCCCTAGGACCCCTGGGATGTGTAAGTCCCAGTCCATCTGATCATCAGTGACAACATGGCACAAAATTGCAGACAGCGTGCGGTTAAGCCTCTCTACTTGTCCGTCGCACTGCTGGTGGTACGGTAAAGTTCGAATTTTCTTAGTGCCCATAATATCACAGACATCTCGCAACAGTTTAGCAGAAAAATTTCGACTCTGGTCTGTGAGCAGTTTCAAAAGAGGGCCCGTGTCCAATACAAAATCGTGGAGAAAGGCTTCTACTATAGTCACAGCCGTTTGGTATGGTAGCGGCCATGCGACGGGCCACCGTGTGCAATATTCTGTCCCGACGAGCAACTAATTATAGCCTCTAGCTGTCTTAGGAAATGGACATCACCAGCTCGTTTTCCCTTGACACTGCAATCGACTGGAGTGGAGGCTGTATGGGTTAGGAAGGAGGTTTTCTTTTTGCACACTTTTGACAACAATTTACCCACTTGCGTACATCCTTCGACATCCCAGGCCAAAAATATTGAGCCTGCAGCATGAGCAATGTTTTTCCGTGGCCGAAGTGCATACGTTGTTCAGCGTGCACTACCAATAGGAACCGTTACTGCAATGGGTTTGGCACCACCAGGCAATGATGTTGCATCTTAGCATTTCATCTCATCAAGAGCCCTCGTCATTTGATAAATGGCGCCCCCTCTTGTCCATTTTGAGCACATTCGGCTGCGTGTGCAGTGGAAGACTGCAGTGAGTCATCATCTTTGTGCAATCGGATCCATTTGGTTATTATCAACCCGAGATCATGATCTACGGGCAGTACATTATTTTCCAGCATTGCTGCATTTATCGATGTCGCCTATACCGGCGAGTCAGGGAGGGTCAGTTTACACAGTGCCACTCCCGTAGTACACGCGCATGGGTCTTTGCATGGTAACCTTAAGAAAGCGCCCGCGTTAAGATGACGGATACCCTTCCTGTGCATGACATCATATGAGCACTTCTGGAGTTTTTCGATCCATCTCGCCATCTGTCCCAAAAAAATATTCATTCTGAGTAAGAATTGTAATGCCGCATGATCGGTTGCATGGAAAAACCGACGGCTGTATAAGTATGGCTGAAACAACGTGACAAAATTAACTACTGCCAGGAGTTCTCTACGAGTGATGCAATAGCGCTGTTCAGCGGTTGAAAGCACGTGACTTCCATAATAAATGACTACTTCTGCTCTCCCCTGTATTTGTTATGGGACAGCAGCTATACTGACATCACTAGCATCTGTATCGAGGATGAACAGTAGCGAGAAATCCAGATATGCTAGTGGGGGAGCATCAGTCAACTGTGAACAAAGGACTTTAAATGCCGATTCTTAACCCCAACGAAATTGCACCCCTTTTGGTATGAGGGCGTGCAAGGGTTTCGCCACTGTAGCGAACCGGGGTAGAAATCGTCGATCGTAGGAAAAAAAATCGTACGAATCGCCGCACTTCCTTTACAGAAGTGGGCGTTGGCCAATTATTAACAGCAGATGTGTTTCAGGGTCTTTTGCTGCCGATTTACCGCTGACCACATTACCCAAATATTTGATGGAACCCTGTACAAAATGACACAGATTACTTCCGCTCTCAACATCCCATTGGTAGCTCTACGGATCTGCTCTTTTTCGTCTGGTCCTACTCTATGTGAGTTCTATCTCATGGGTTGCGGATTTCCTCTTTCAATGTGGTGCTGCATCAAATCCGTGCACCCCAGATCATACGGGCCCTCACTGAAAATGTCATGAAATTCTAAGTTTGTCTCTTTGACCTTGAGTTAATTCAGGGTTCCGCTGAATAATTTCCTCTGCCCAGGAGACCCTGCTCCATCCTTCACTTCCTGTATCCCTGCTACGACTACCTCTTCCTGAATCTCACTCGCTGGGGAAATCTGCGCAATTACCATCCCTTCTCGCAGTGTAATCGTCCACTCCGATGTATTTAAAACCTGTGTAATGTTCTTGTATGGAGACGGAGTCGTCTTAGAGGCAACACGGTTTATTTATAATATAACAGGATACACTCAATCCCTAACACAAAGGGGTAGTGGCCCCTTTCACCCACAACCTGGGGAGGTACAGCCTCTGGGCTATCGTACCTAGTCACTTAGCTACTCTGACTTCTCTAGCCCTCCGGCTGGCTAGACCTAGGGGAGGCTGACCCACCGTTGGTCTCGGTGGGTCCCTGACCACTGGCCCGTCCGGACCCGGCCCTCAGAAGGACATCAGTCCGAGGGAACCTCAGGGTCCTAACCTCCGACCACTGGCACCGCACTGAGCCCCGGCCCTTAAAAGGACGGAATCATCGCGCACCGCCGACGGCGAGCGTCGTGCCGA